GGGTAAATTAGGGGCCCGGACTCGAGAGAGAAGGCAGCGGCTGGGAAAGTCAGGGGGCCGGGCTCGAGGGCGAAGGCCGCGGCTGGGGAAAGTCAGGGGAGCCGGGCTCGAGGGCGAAGGCCGTGGCTGGGGAACTCGGGGGGGCTCGAGGGCAAAGGCCGCAGCTGGGGAACTCGGGGGGCTCGAGGGCAAAGGCCGCGGCTGGGGAACTCGGTGGTCAGCTGGATTGCCGGAGCAGGAGCACTGGGAGCTGGAGACGGCGGAACCCCCGGTGGTACAGGAACCGGTGTCGTCGGGACAGGTGCATACTGAACCCCTGACGGGACAGGACACAGAGTTGGCAGGACCCTCAGCGGAACCCCCAACGAAACAGGACAAGGAGTTGGCGGGACCCCCGACAGAACAGGACATGGGGTTGGCGGGACCCCCAACAGAACAGGACATGGGGTTGGCGGGACCCCCAACAGAACAGGACATGGGGTTGGCGGGACCCCCAACAGAACAGGATATGGTGTAAGCAGGACCCCCGGCGGAACAGGTGACGGCGGGACCCCCGACGGAACAGGACACAGAGTTGGCAGGACCCCCGGCAGAACAGGTGACGGTGGGACCTCCAACAGGACACGGAGAACTGGAGTGGGCCGGAGAGCCGGAACGTGAGCCAGAACCATAGCTGCTGGGGCCGGTACTGGAACGGGAAACACGACTGCTGGGTCTCGAGGTTAAAGCAGGCGTGCAATTTATCGGGAGGAGTCACAAAGTCCCTTAAAAATGCAGGCAGTGAGCTCCTTAACCAGGGCTTATCTGCAACTTCCCGGTGTGCTCGTGAAAGAGCAGCCTCCTGAGCCTCTTTATTATGAGCCCTCATCCACTCTCAGAAAACATGAAAGTTTGCAGGATAATTTGCCAACCTCATCCTCAAAAAACACTGCTAGGTCCATCCTTGGTGAGATTATTCTGTCACGGCTGGAGGGAAAGGTACACAGGACCAAATGCAGAATATCCAAATCCAAAATACTTTTATTGCAGAACTAGACATGGCAAAAACACAACACAGACAGATTGTGACAGAATATTCACAATGCTATGACAATAAATACATTTTAAAAATTAATCTGTGGAAGCCGTAGCCTTCACTGAACACGGGAAATTACAATCCTGCCGTCTCTAGTGTCATGATGAGGTTCAGGTAAAGCACCGTTATTGTATTATTGAGGGAGAATTGTCCGGGGCTAAAGAAAAAACATTTCGCCAGGCGACGCGGTGATGTCAGATAGTAATATAAGAGTAATAAAGCAGGTGTGAAATACAATATGACAGTAAAACAAGAATAAAGTTTTAAAAGGGTGATTTATAAAATATCCATAAAGAAAAAGAAAATCTGTTTACAGTTCTGTTTCATATGGGTGTTGAGAGATGTATCCATTAGGGGTGTAACGGTACACGTACCCGTACCGAAATTATTCGGTACGGGCCCTTCGGTTCGGTACAGGTGTGTACCGAAGTGTACCGAACGAATATAACGTTAAACGTAAAAAATTGAGAACGAGAATAACTTTTTGGAAGTAATCTCAGGTGCTGCGTCGCAGCATTCAGAGTAATTTGCTCACATTGGGTTCAACGCGTCATAGAGCGAGCAAGTCATTTAATTGGATGAGAGGCAAACTATGAGAGCTGGTCAGAGGGATGCGTTCAAATATAGTCAGTAATTTGAGGAACTGTCAAAAATTAATGGCGAACGCAGATAAAGTTGAGCTCGAAAATCCTCCAGCATCATTGAAGTCTCCGGTTTGGGAACATTTTGGTTTCGCAGTTACGTACAAGGATGACGGACAAAGACAGGTGGACCGAACCAAAGCTGTTTGTCGGCATTGTTCAACTAACATTGGTTACGCGGCTGGCAATATATCAAACTTGCACACTCTTGAAAAGGCATCACCCGAACGTGAATATCACCGGTACCAAAAGAAAAAAGACTGAAGTGCAAACCCAACTCCCGCTAGCATGTAAGCCTCCACCACTCGCAGAGAGTTCAGACCGAGCCAAAGCTATTACAAACGCCAAGTATCCTTATGCTGCCATGTTAGCAAAGCGCTACCTGGATGTATCTGCTACCTCTGTCCAGGGTCGGCTCTAGAACAAATCAAATGGGGGGGCAATCATTTACCATTGGGGGGCACACACTGCCGTCAACAACCAACACACAAACACCACATACATGCACGGTTGTGGCACGACCACCAAAACAGAAACATATGGACATAGGCCACCATATGAAAAGTGTGCAAATGTATTTAGTATCCTATCCATGTGAACATGTTTTAGGTGGGGGGTGGACCTAACCTCCTCTAGGAGGGTCTGGGGGCATGCTCCCCCGGGAAGATTATTTTTAAAATATTGAAGTTAAAAGCATCAATCTGGTGCACTTTGAGAGCAAAATGAAGAGATCTATGGATACATCTCTCAACATCCATATGAAACACAACTGTAAACAGATTTACTTTTTCTTTATGGATATTTTACTAATCACTCCCCTTTTAAATGGTATTCTTGTGTTATTGTCCTATAGTATTTCATACCCGTTTTTCATTTATTCTCTTATTCTTTAATAACTATAATGATCATATAAAGGTGTTCCTCGCAAATACTTGTTTACATAAATGGTGAGCAAACCGTTTGAGACCCACTGAGATAACTTACACTAAAGTGAACTATCTAAACACTGAGAGTCCTTACCCCACTGAGCTGACGTTATAAGATCCTCTCAGTCTGACAAGAGAGGACTCTCCTCCACCTTGGTGTAGAAACAGCTCTTTATATCCGTTAGCATAGCTAGCTAACCAGATGCTAACAACAATATTCCACGTTACCGCTCGCGCACTCACAAAATGCGCTCGTGCCACACACACAGAGAGCCAAGCTTGAATGAAACACAGAGACCCATGTACTTGTACTGTACTGTATATCATATTATTTTCGATGGCTTTACTGTATAATCAGTATAACAGATGGACAGATCGCCACTGGGCTTTCATCTAAACACTCAGCCACGTAATGATAACAAAACAAAAGTCGGGGGTCATTGGTCAAGCAACACACCAATCAGAGAGCAGCAGTGAGCACACCTCAGGCTGTGTTTCATATAAAGAATAAATAAAGAATACAAATGTGTATTCTTTATTTCTGATGTATTTCACACAAAAAACGTTTGGTGGAAACGTTTTAACTTATATGAATTTTTTTTTTAAACGGCAAATTGGCAATAAGGCTCGTTGGGGGTGCACAGTGACTCATTTGGGGGGGCATGGCCCGCGAATGACCCCCCATGACGCCGACCCTGCCTCTGTCCCTAGAGAGGGTGTTCTCCACAGCAGGAGACATTGTTAGTGCCAGCAGATCTGCCCTTTCGGCAAGCAATGTGGACAAGTTCATCTTTCTTTAGAACAACATGAAAATACAATGACAAGCAAGTCCTAATGTCAAACTGGCTGCTTAGGTGCTAGTACAGTTCAAATACAGATTATTTCAGTTCATCGACATGCTGCACCTTAATGTTCATTTTATTATATTTTGTATTTATTTGAGTGAATACATTATTCACAGTTTAATAATAATAATAAATATATATATATATATGTTTTGTTTTGTGAAAAAAAATTCTGCTGTACCGAACCGAACCGTGACCAAAAAAACCGAGGTACGTACCGAACCGAAATGTTTGTGAACCGTTACACCCCTAGTATCCATAGATCTCTTCATTTTGCTCTCAAAGTGCACCAGATTGATGCTTTCAACTTCAATATTAAAAATCTTTCCGGGGGAGCTTGCCCCCCGGAAAGATTTTAATATCTATGGATACATCTCTCAACACCCATATGAAACAGAACTGTAAACAAATGTACTATTTCTTTATGGATATTTTACAAATCACTCAAATCACACCTTTTAAACTCTATTCTTCTTTTACTGTCATAGTATTTCATACCTGTTTTTCATTTATTCTCTTATTTTTGTATACCTACACTGAACAAAAATATAAACGCAACACTTTTGTTTTTGCTCCCATTGTTCATGAGATGAACTCAAAGATCTAAAACATTTTCTATAAACACAAAATAACCATTTCTCTCAAATATTGTTCACAAATCTGAAAAAATCTGTGATAGTGAGCACTTAATCCATCCCACCTCACAGGTGTGGCATATCAAGATGCTGATTAGACAGCATGATTATTGCACAGGTGTGCCTTAGGCTGGCCACAATAAAAGGCCACTCTGAACGTGCAGTTTTGCTTTATTGGGGGGGTCTGAGGGGGTCCGAAAACCAGTCTGGTGTGACCACCATTTGCCTCACGCAGTGCAACACATCTCCTTTGCATAGAGTTGATCAGGTTGTTGATTGTGGCCTGTGATTGGTCCACTCCTCTTCAATGGCTGTGCCAAGTTGCTGGATATTGGCAGGAACTGGAACACGCTGTCGTATACGCCGATCCAGAGCATCCCAAACATGCTCAATGGGTGACATGTCCGCTGAGTATGCTGGCCACGCAAGAACTGGGATGTTTTCAGCCTCCAGGAATTGTGTACAGATCCTTGCAACATGAGGTGATGGTCGTGGATGAATGGCACAACAATGGGCCTCAGGATCTCGTCACGGTATCTCTGTGCATTCACAATGCCATCAATAAAATGCAGCAAGGAATTGTTTGCCTGGAGCTGATTTGTTTTCCCCCTGGCCTTTCTGAGGAAGTTGTTACTTCTTGCCAACGTGGTTCCTTCTATGGTCACTCTAGACTTGGCATAGATGCTCCTTCACCTCCTACTTTTTTGCTTTCAGGAAGCAGAAATAAGGGTAATCATTTTAATGTATTTTTCACCCACAATATAGAAATGGTCATCTTGAAGGTAGTATTCCCTTGAGATGAAACCTGTGCACTAGACGTTTGATGAAGTCCATTACTGTAAAAAAAATACATCTGAATCTTTTTTCTCATTTTGCAGACTGGTACAGGTGCAATGAGCACAAAGAAGGAGAACGATGCTGATCCCTATGTGAGTAAACTGATACACTAAACACACAAATCTGCATTTTTATTTTTTTATTTGTATGTGAACAGAGCTCCCAGGAGACCACCAGTTCATTGCAGACTGCCAGGTTTGTAGATGCTGATCAGTGACGGCTTCACCCGAGTGTCCAAAACATACGGCCTCAGGTCTGCTGTTACGATAACCAATCGATTTAGGACCTTCTCCTCGGGTGTTAGCTTAAAAAACTATTGTCTACTGTCTTTTTTATGAAATGGCAAAAAGACAATTTACTAGGGGTGTAACGGTATCCGTATTCGTCCTGTACCGTCACGGTTCGGACTTCACGGTTCGGACGTCACGGTTCGGCACATGCAGTCACACGACAAATACGCCTTTTTTTACGAGTGGGAAAAAAGTCTGTCACTCAGGGCAGTATTACACTATATATAATCCAGGGGGCGGTATTGCGCCTAAAAGCCAGCCGCCCGTAAATAACAAATGAAGAACAAGAACAAAACACAACAAAACGAACACAATACATGAAGAAGAAAAGTTATCTACGCCGAGTTCACACAACACACAGGAGCTAGAAGACCCACCTGCTTCTTTTAAATCAGGTGTGTGGGAACATTTCGGGTTCCCTGTGGACTACAATAATGATGGGGTGCGAGTTGTGGATCGGACGAGGACGGTGTGTCGGCGTTGTTCGACAGCTAGTGACAGCTAGTGCTAACACGTCAAACATGCTCAATCACATCCGAGTCAGTCTCAGTCCCCAGCGAGAGGGTTTTCTCGACGGCAGGTGACATAGTTACCGCCAACAGATCTGTCCTCACTGCTGACAACGTAGACAAACTCATCTTTCTGAAGAACAACTTGAAAATAGAGTAAAGCTTGAGCACCTTTATTTAGGCATAATGGCCTCACACACTCACAGTTAATTACACATGTTACACATTGCTCCTAAAGGTACAGATTTTATTTTGTTTTATATTTATCATTGTATTTATTTTATATTTTGACATCAGGAGATGTTATACAGTTCTGTATTGCCTTTTATTGATTGTGATTCAAACACTTTCTTATTATTTATTTTAATATTTTCAAGACATTCTTTTTAGTTGTTCAGCTTATTGAACCTTTTTGTTTGACATCAGCCAATATAGATAATATGGCCATCTGAGTGTGTGTGGTACTGTTTGTGGTTTGTTTTTAACTGTGTAATACAGTTAATGATTCCAAATGTTAGAGTTCCTTATTTTCATACCACAACTTGCACGACTGTTACAAATAAATAACAGCAAAAAAAAATTATTCATTTGGGACTTTTTTTTGCTTTTCCTTGTTGTACCGAAACCGTACCGAACCGTGACTTCTGTGAACCGTTACACCCCTACAATTTATAATATTTCTCACCACATGTTACCGTGAACTCTTAAATATGTGTTTCTCACATGCCTCAATGGTAAACAAAGAATAACAAAACGGGAAAATGATTGATGATTGAAGTTCATTTTGGCTGACTTTTAACAACAGAAAAACTAAATGAAAATATTTGTTAACTTACAAAAAACTTGTGCAGGGTTAATTGTCACAAATAAGTAATAATAAAACTCCTTTAAGGTTAAATCTGTTTACACATGGATTTGATGAGTGACGTCCATTACTGTAACAACAATACATCTATACCTTTTTTTCTCATGTTGCAGACTGGTCCATGTGCAAAGAGAATAAAGACGGAGAAGGATGCTGATCCCACTGTGAGTAAACTGATACACTGCACATACAAACATTCTGCATTTTAAGTTAATCAACAAGTAAATGTTACTTTAATTCTCTTACTCTGGTTTTCCTGCAGGCCGGACATCCACATAGCTTCACTGTGAAATTCCCTTCTGACCCCAAGGAACACACTATAGACTGTGTTCAACCCGGAACAGTGCTGCGGGCGATAAAAACATGTCACAAATATGATGAGAAGTTTTCAGATGAAAACCTTGTGATTCAGCTGGGTAAAAAGGATAAGAAACATGCTATTGCAACACATTTCCCTTGTTCTTGTATCAGGGAAGATGAGTGTCTGATCTTATCGCATGAAAAAGAAAAGATTGAAGAGACCCAAGGCCAAAATGAGGAACCAATACAGTCAAAGGAAATATATTCTGTCTTCTCTATTGAAACAGTGGGAGGAGAAAACACCAGAACAAAGCCGTTTATCAGAAGCAAGGCTTTCAATAGGTTCAAGTACCTGTGTGTGTATGGGGAGAAGGGTAGGGAGATCACAGTGGAGGACGCTCTGAGAAGAGATGGACGCTTCATTGATGATCTTGGCTACTTCACTCTGTCTGACAACAAGGATCCAATTAAAAGCACTGGATGTACCCAACCTGTTGACAACCTGGATGGAAAAGAATTCAAGTTGTGTCTTGAAAAGGCACAACTGAAGCGTAGCAAAAAAATGGTCAGAGAAGAAGTAAAGAAGAGAATAGACGTTATCCAAAAAACAATGGAAAACAATAAAGTCAGTGTCAAAGATTTAGTTGAAGACCGTGTCAGAGCAGAGAACAGATCCAAGGGAAAGAGTGGTCAGAGTGGCAGCAGTGTCGACGTTGAAGAGATGTATGATTTACTGCGGAAGCAGTATCCAGATCTGAAGGAGCTGATGATGAATAGATTCCCAGGTGATTCTTATCAGGAGAAACTGAACCTGAGGAAGGAAGACTTTGGAAAGATCCAACAGTCGTTCAGCGAGGTTCACAGAGTCAGAGAGCTGATAAAACTGGGCGAGTCAGTTTGTGTGATTGTGAATCCATTTAAGACAGGATCAGGGTTTGTGTTGTTTGACAAATTCATCTTGACCAACGCACACCTGTTTAAACAATGTGTTGAAGAAGGAAACACAAAGCTGAAGCATGGTACAGAGGTGTATGTTCTCTTTAACTTTGAAGAACAGCACAAAAATTACCACTACTTTAAGCTGGCTCACCGTAACATCCTCTACTGTGATGATGACCTCGATTATGCCATACTTCAGCTTGAGCCTGTCGGACAGAAATACAACCCAGACACAACTAAAGTCACAAAAGAGATAGTGCCACCACCAGGGCTCCTGAAGTTGTTTGGTCCAAAGCCTGAGAATGGTGAAGCCTGTATCATTGGTCACCCAGAAGGAGGAGTGAAAAAACTGGATCCAACATCTATCATTGAGATAGGAAACAGGGTGAAGGCTGTTGAGGATCAATTAGAGCCATACAAAGACACTTTATTCACTCTCTACTCAATCCGTGACCTCATCAAAAAGCAAGGCATTGAAAGCATATTGGTAGGTGGAAACAAAGCAGAGAAAGGAACAACCTACAACACCTTCATGTGTCACGGCTCCTCTGGATCCCCAGTGTTTGATGCTCAGTGCAAGGTTTTTGGTTTGCACACCTCAGGATATGTTTACGGTTTTCCAAAGCCTGAGAGTGTGATAGAGTGGGCCCAACCTCTGCTAGATATCTTTGAACACTTTGTGAGGAAACTGAGGGACAATGGGGAGGAGGATCTGTTGAAGAGAGTTCAGGAAGAAGCAAAGGGAAACTCAGACCTAGAAGAGATACTCAAAAAGATACTCAACCCCGACTCTGATGAGCCAATAGTGACTGATTAGAAAGATGATATAATCAGGGGCTGAACACACGAGGCTGGACAGCTTATATTCCCATGCATCATCACACTTCAGATCTGTTTTCTAGTGCATCCTGTTTCATATTGACTTCTGTGTCCTTACTTCACTGTGTTCATGTATGCACCATTGTACACCAAATTAACCTAATTGGCAATAAACCAAATTCTGATGTTGATTGTGCTGCATACTCACCGTTTGTGGAATATATGAATGTATTTTATTGAGGCAGTGAACTGAATGCCATATATTTCATGTATTTTCTCTTTTAACACGTATTGGAAGCTCCTTAAGTGTGAGCTGATATTTGTTTTTATTTCAATGTCATATATTTCTCCCGTGGTAAATGTGTTTATTCTGTCCTGGCCTTCCCTACCAATGTATTCTGTGTTTTATTAAAAGTTGATCTCTTCAAAATCTGTTTCTTGTGTCTGATTTTTTAATTTAGGGTTATGTTATTCAATGTATGTAGCCCCTCCCCTTTTCCGGCAAGTAAAAGAACCAAAAGACCAAAAATAGAGCCGACAAACTGTTTCTTTGGCAAGTGGAGGTTTTTAAAGCTAGTGACGCTATGCAAAGTAAGTAATTATACTTTAACCTGAAGTACTAACAAATACGGCAATGTTGAAGTCCTAGAGCAGGAGACGTGAATTGTTCCCACCATTTCCACCCATCAGTCTTAACAGGCGATAATATTGTCTTTCCATATCAGCTGAAATAACAACCCGGGACTTCTCGATGCTGCAGGTACAATGATGATTTAGGGCTCCATCACTTTGTGTTTTCTCACCTGAAAAAGGTTATGATGTTACGGCTCAAATGTGGTTAATAAATAAGTACCGGTCAGAGCAAACACACTATAAACAGTGTTTCAGAGAGTGTGATAATATACATAATACAGGGATAAACAGGCCAGAGTAATGTCCCAACACCACAGTGTAGCAAGGACTCTGTTAGCTGAACAAGCATCCTTCAAGCCATATTTGAATAAATGTGTCTTTCAAACAGTTTGATTTGGGGGAGGTGTACATTCACCATACCTTTCAGAGCTGAAGAAAACTACAGCAACATTTGCTTCATAAAGAACACATTTATCACAGGACAAGAAGGAAGTGGTGTCAAAAGTACTCAAATCCTTTACTCAAGAAAAAGGCACTCATCTAAATAAGTAAAAAAACATTACTAGTAAATAATGGATGTAAAATGTTATCTTGGTCAAAGTACAGAAGTATTATCAGCTGGAGTTTATTTAGGACCTAACGAGCTGTAAGCCTACAGCTCCCCCTAGTGGCCCTTCACCCTCCCCGTCACCTTTAATGAGAAACAACAACAATATATTTCCTGGAATTATCAAAGCCTTTTTATTTCTCATTGTTATTAAAACACCTGCAAAGTAATATTTGAGCCAAACAAACCCTTGGCTCTACCAGAATGACCAGTATCTGTAATGGGACAACAACTGATCCTTTCTAAAGCAACTCAGCAGAATCAAGCTTGATCGCCCGATTGACGGTTTCAGAAATGTACACCACTTGTCGGACATACCCTCCCAAATCGATGTTGAGATGCATTGGTTCTGTCCAATCAGCTGCAGCGTCCAATGAGTGACCAATACACAATAAGGGGGCGTATCGGCGGTTCATAAAACTTCACTTAAGGACGCTCAGGTGCTTCCTTGCTCATCTTTCCTCGATCCTCACGCTTTGGGATAGTCTTCAAGATGGCGCACCAGAACATCTTCCGGTTAAGTTTAGGAGCGAAGAAATGCCCAACTTGGGATGAACCCTAATGCTGTGTCTCAATGTGGATACTTCCCTTCGTACACTGCCATGTTGTGCACTGTGAACACGTGGGCAGTGTGTGAATTTCAACCAATAAGTGTTGTTTTAAATTGCACATGTGATGTTACAACTGTTAGCTAGCTAGCCACCAAGCAACGTTATTGTTTACTGAGTCATTACAGACTACTTAACTAACCCCATTAACTATATGGTGGCTTCTTTTTGACACCAGTACTGTGGTACATGTATTAAATAGAGAAATAAAATCACATTATTTGGTCTTATTTGTATAGAGCGGATTTCACCAAAGCACTTCCGTTACGTAGCCAGAAATAGGGGTAACTTTTAGACCGTTGTGACCAATGCGGGTATTCATAGGGCTTTGGCGTAACTTTTCATTGGGCAACACTTACGCAACTCTAAAAAGCAAATGACTTTCCCTCCTCAAACCCTCCTCCTCCTCTTCTTCGTCTCTCAGAGCGTTGCGGACTTTCTCCAGAACTCCCCGCTTCGTTCCTCCTCCCGAGGCCACTCAGGTGAGGTGGTGGAGCTCATGAGTTTGCGCAGTTTGCAGAAGCGTTTCGGTATGTCATCCTTGGACAAGCGGTTCGAGCAGGATCAAGATGGCCCGCGTTACTGCCGGTCCTCCCCATCGAAAGCTGGAAGTGGGAGAAGTCGAGCTCGTAGCGGCACCACTCGGACTGGACGAAGTTCTCGGACAGAATGAAGACGGTCCGCCGGCTGCGCTCCATGGCGCTCATGATGTTGTCCACAATCCAGTGACCGGGAAGGAAGTCCCGTTTGTGGAGGCACAGGGTCAGAGGTCTGGGGGATTCAGAGAGTCTCCATCGTTCTCCCTGTAAGAGTAAAAACCAGAGAGCAGGTCATGTTTCTAAACAGAATGTGGTTGATGGTCTGTTTGCCAGCTGCTCATAGAGTCCTTTTTTGAACCTGTAAATGTTGAGGACCCCAACGTTTTATGCTAGCAATGTTTAGTAGGGTCCCCAGCACATAGAAACTGCTGGATGCTAACCTGCATATGTTAGGCAATTTGCACAACTAGGATAAGTTGGGTGATTGGAATTGTAGCCCATGCTGACAGTAGTTTAAAAATGGCTTAACCGATTTGGAAATGTTTCAGGATCCACAATGGCTGTTTTAAGCAGAAAGTGGCCATATTTGTACTGATTTGGTGAATTTTAGATTTGGGTTCTAGTCTTTTTGTAAGTCGCTTTGAATAGAGACATTATCTTAAAGGTCCCCTATTATACTGTTTTTCATCAATATATTACAAGTCAGTGCAACGGAAAGTTTGGGGCTCTCTGCTGGAACTGCTACCCTCACGACCCGACCACGGATAAGCGGGAGAAGATGGATGGATGGATTTTACAAGTCTCAGATATATCCAGAACCTGTCTCTGATTGGCTGAAACACCAAACAGATCATTGCAGCATTACCCATAATCCTCTCTGTTTCAGCCCTGTTTCCAAAGTGCTGATTCTCTGTCTGTTACTTTAGATGAAAATAAGGAGCCCCTCCCCACGCCCCTCTGAGAGACATTTGGTTACAAAGAACTCAATGGTGCTCTAGAGGAGATTCAGGTGATAAGGGGGGGGGGGGTTAACCTTGGTTGCTGATTGGCTAATGGTTACACAAGACAAATCGTTATGACATCATAAAGTGGCCAAAATCTGATCAGCTCATTTTCAGACAGGTTTTTATATAAAATCAGGACAAAAAGAGAGAGAATCTTTGTTCCTGAAACTTTCAGAATCATTTCACACATGTTGATGTATAAAATAAATAAAAAAGTGGATTTTGCATAACAGGTGACCTTGAATTAAAGTGTGTTTGAGGTTACCTCGGCTCCTCCAGCTCGGGTACCAAGAAGTTTTCCACCCAGCTAGCGTCTCTCTCGCTGTACGACACAAAGGCGTCGTAAGATAGCAGCTCTTCTCTTCGTTGTCGCCGCCGGGAGCTTCTCTTGGCCTTTAGCCACGCCCACATCATCCTGAGATACCAGAACGCATGAAGGCGCCACAGCAGGACACACACCAAGACGCCAATGATCAACGCCACCACACAACTCACGGACACAAACAAAACCCGCCGGCACACAACCACAGAGAGCCTCACCCGCCCCGCTGGCTCCCCCTGCAGGTAGAGAGGGGAATCGCAGACGTAGGCGTCCTCTCCGTCTGATAAATGCACATCTTCGCCTCCTTTAATGGCCGACTGGAGGAAGTAGACAAAGTCGCAGGAGCAGACAAATTTGTTTTGGCCCGCCCAGAGGTCCTGGAGGCGTCTGTATGCCTGGAGGTCCGAACGGGTGAACATGTTCAGGGTGTTTGACTGTGGAAGAGCAAGCAGGGGGTCACACTTATGGTAGGCTATTCTTCATCTGTAGTCCCGGACAGATTTCACACCAGATGCAAAGTCAATGCAGAGAAGCGGATTGATGGGTATGGACACACCCCAGTACAGTACATGAAGCTTTATGTATCTATGTGCAGTAATCATTTTACTACTGTTGTATAACACACTTAATATTCCATGATTTTACACTCTCTTCATTGTATAAATACTGCTGCTTCTTACTCTCTACCCGAATGTGTACTTCTGCCAGTTGTAATAATTCTTTATATGAATGTGCATGCCTTTTATATAAGAGTCTCCTTCTACAGTGTGCTGTAACAACGTACATTTCCCCTTTGTGGGACGAATATAGGAATTCTGATTCTGATTTGTATAGTAACTATTTAAACCCATGCAATACATTTGTTTGGCCACTACTATAATCTGGCGCATTCCCCGGGGCTTGAAGAATACAAGAAGACATATTAAGATTGGTCCTCACCTGTATGGTCAGTGTTTGCAGGTTTGGGAACATCCATCCAGGGGGAAGGCTCAGTATCTTGTTCCCAGAGAGATGGAGCTCTCTCAGGGAAGGAAGGATCAGAAAGAAGGCTTTTAGATCGTTGTTGCTCAGATCCAAAACCTGTGGAGGATAAAAAACAATGGTGGACAAAGTCTTAAAATCTATTGCTTCAGTACAAGAAGCAGTACTAATATCTTTTATTGTCATCATTCAAAGGCATAAGAAAATTGCGTTGGCATCCCTCACTTCACAGTAATAGAAATACACACTAAATTAGATCTCAATTTACATATTTACACATTTTACAGGCTATAAACTGTCAATATTCAAAACTACATAAGTGTAAATATAATTGTGTTCCTAAATAGATGCTAACAATGTCCATAAATGCTAGATAAATATTTATGAATGTTTGTGGTGACGGTCTTTGAGGGGTGGAGGTGTGTTTATGTTCACAGCTGTTGTAGTGTGTTCTGTATTGGATTACTCTCTCTCAGTACCTCCAGAGTTTCGGGTAGACAGGGGGAGATGGTTGTGAGTTTGGCCCAGGAGATGTTGAGGTATCGCAGGGTGGAAGGCCAGGAGCAGCCCCCGGGCATGGAGATGAATCCGTTGCTGCTGACGTCCAGGTGGGTCAGTTTGGAGAGGTTTGTCACCAGCCGGCTCACCGTGGACAAAGACTGCAGAGAAGCAACGTCGTGTTAAAATCTGGGGTCTTATTCTTCAATGTATTCTTAGATTGAAAGGAGTACTGCTGATGTGCTGCCCCTTATGCTCTGAATAATGCAGAAGGAGCTGAAACTCTCACATTGTATCACTATGGGGGAATTCAGGTCCATCTTAAAGGACAGAACAAGAGTCCATTGGTCGACGTGATTGCTGTATCCCATAACTGAAGTCGTTTATAAATTGTGCCAGTTTTTCATGTTTTATAATAGTTTCTATTATTTGCATATTGACTGGTTAATGTGCCATTTCATTTGTGCTTTACGACCGTCTGCCTGTATTGTCTTTGTTCATTTGTTGTATCATTTTGCCCTCTTGGCCAGGTCGCTCTGGAAGAAGAGATTTGAATCTCAATGAGACTTTTACCTGGTTAAATAAAGGATATACATGTATAATACTACACAGCCTACGATTACCATGGTAAATATTATGGTAAATTAGGAGTTATGGACCTTCTTTGTAATTACAAGGTGGTATCAATGTTGTATAAAACCACAACAACGGTAAATGGTGAATTGGAATGTCTGCAGCGGTGCTGACTTCACGTGCTGCCCTAGATGACCGGTCTCAACGCTGTGTGTGTCCGTCACGCTGTTTACAAGTAGTTCCAGCAAACATCCACTGATAAACTGCGATGTTAGCAACCTCATGATAACCTCATATGTTTTTAACTTAGGATCATACCTGTGTTTAGTCTAGAAAAAGGTAAATGTGTGCATTTGATTATAAAGTTGTGTATATTTACAGACTGTTGCAAAAACTAAGAAGCTTATAAACATCAGGTGTCAAACTAAAAGAGCTTTACAAAAAAGTAACACAATTAAAGATGTTTGGAGTTTTATTTGAGTTATTAATTTTAATGTTTTGTCAAAGAGAAGCTGATTTTAAACCGTTGTTACACACAGCTACGGCATTTCCTGTTTCTGCGGAGAGAGGGGAGGCCGTCCCAAAGCTTGCTGCTGTGTTTACTCCCTCCATCTGACAGGAGGAGCCTCGTTGAGCTGCGAGAGTCACAGAGATAAGAGAGGGGCTAACATGATGCATCTTTCAAGATAACGGATGGGCCAATCAGAAGTCAGCAGCCGGGCCAATCAGAAGTCAGCAGCCGGTCCAATCAGGAGTCAGCAGCCGGTCCAATCAGGAGTCAGCAGCCGGTCCAATCAGGAGTCAGCAGCAGGCTCATAAGAACTCCAATACACAGAATATGGAAATAGTAATTATTATTTTAGCAAAATAAATCCTCCACAAAAGAACAAAAAACTAAAAAATAAGTACATTTTCTCAAAGTAAAAAAGCCTAACATTTTTACCAATGTCTTTTTATTTAAATGTATTTATTCATGTATTCTTCTTTCTATTTTAATCATCTAAATTGATGTGAAAAGAGTGAATATGATGGGATTGAGAGCATGTTTATGACTTTCAGGGTTTGTTATAGATTCTCTACACCAGGAGTCTGTTCTACGAATCTAGTTCAACCTAACCTGGATATGTTTGAGTTAGCCGGTTGGCCTAATCCAAAACATACGCGCTCTCGCTAAACTGTACTACGACGCTGGTTATCAAGTGGATCTCTCAAGCCAGCCGTGTCCTATCTAGTTAGGTGTTCACATGAGAGGGGTGGTATCTGGAGCATTCGACCAATCACAGACATGGAGAAGCGCACTGACAGCGCAGCGTCATACTTCCTGAATGAAAAGTGAACTTTAATTTTAGACATATGAAGAAGTTAAAGTTTAAACATCCATGACTTAAACACTTGATCCAGGATCAAAGCCACAGAGCTGCACCTGCAAGGTGAATACAGCTGGTAACAGAACAAGTGTTTGAATGCGTACATTAACAGCTTTATGATATCACTGCCGTCTAAGACACCATCTGACTTTCATTACATTTGACTCCAGTGTTTCCTCAACTTAATGTGTTGCTTCAAATAATGCTTCTGCATCCAGTCTGTGACACTGTGAGTGTTGCACGGCCAGATACGGCTCAGCTGACTCAGATCAGGAGATGATACATTATGAAGTGATATGGACTGTACTTAATGTGACTCTGATCCGGTTACTTATGTTGTGGCAGATATTTCAGTAAGCTTTCTTAACGCTAATGTTATAATAGTCAGATTGCTCTGAAGATGGAGCTGATATTCTATTCATGTTCACGTTCACACAGTCGCTGATTGTTGCCGGCCGTCTTTCCTGCGACGGCAGCTTTTCTGTATTTCCTTTCTCCTGTAATATGACTTGATCGCTTTAAACTCCGCACACTGAGCTCTGATTGGTCAGCAGGCGGTGCTTTCACTGAGTTGAGCTCTTAGCCTGCAACCTAACTTGCTCCGGACCAGCTTAGCCGCTCAGCATCAGTTACCATGGAGATCTAGCCGCTAAAAAGAGAACCAGCTTCGTAGGACCGGAAAGCCTGAGTTAACCTGAAGTTAGCCGCTAAGAGAACATCCTGCTTCGTAGTACACCCCCCAGGAGTCTCACACCTTTTTTAGGATGAGAGCTACTTTCAAAAAATAAAACAAGTCGTGAGATACTTTTTCTCCTATTTGTTGTTTTTAGTTTTTGCAGTGTATATATTTAGCACATTTGAACATTATGATATGCTTAACTTTAACCTCCGTGGCGGAGAGGGAGTGGGTAGGGTGTGGTTTGGAATTGGACCAGCTTTACACCCCCACTGTGTGCCTCTTATTGAGCTCCGTACTGTTGGCACCTTGTCATCAGAGCAAGGCGACCGAAGGCAGGGTAAGACATCTCCTTTCTCGTTATTTGTATTACTGTTATTATTATTGGCTTTATGAACGGTCACAATCATTTCATTCATCTATTGAATCGTGTTCACCAAATGCAAATGTTTCCGTGTCAGACAGCACGATGTTCAAAGGAATGCATTTCAATTGGAGGAATTAAAAAAATAAAATAAATCATTAGAAAATAATAACATTCCCGGCTGTTTCCCTTCTCCTGGCAAATATCTCAAACCTTAATAAATAAAATAGACAATTGACCAACAATAACAATTTAACATAAAAAACAAGGATGAGTTTGACTCAATGTTGTGTAAAGTACCAGTTATGGTTAAAGAAAACAAAAAACACCCATTATAGATGATAGGGTTGGCATGTAAGGACACACACAGTGGTCCAACCTGTTATTGGTGGAAGAAATACTAACTTACCCAAAAACACAACAAACAAACAAAAACTTATTATCTGAGCTCCTACTATCAAAAACAACAAACATGGTTCTCCACTCCTACTAAAGTGTATAGATTAAAACTTAGAATTATTAACAAACAGTGTATTTACAATAATACAGAAGTCTTATTCAAACACCGGATGATTTCAGATCATCAACCAGATCATTAGGTAGGAGCAGGAGAGATAAGAGAGGGGCTAACATGCTGCATCTTTCAAGATAACGGATGGGCCAATCAGAAGTCAGCAGCCGGTCCAATCAGGAGTCAGCAGCCGGTCCAATCAGGAGTCAGCAGCCGGTCCAATCAGGAGTCAGCAGCCGGTCCAATCAGGAGTCCAGCAGCCGGTCCAATCAGGAGTCAGCAGCCGGTCCAATCAGGAGTCAGCAGCCGGTCCAATCAGGAGTCAGCAGCAGGCTCATAAGAACTCCAATACACAGAATACGGAAATAGTAATTATTATTTTAGCAAAATAAATCCCTCCACAAATGAACAAAAAACTAAAAAATAAGTACATTTTCTCAAAGTAAAAAAGCCTAACATTTTTACCAATGTCTTTTTATTTAAATGTATTTATTCATGTATTCTTCTTTCTATTTTAATCATCTAAATTGATGTGAAAAGAGTGAATATGATGGGATTGAGAGCATGTTTATGACTTTCAGGGTTTGTTATAGATTCTCTACACCAGGGGTCTGTTCTACGAATCTAGTTCAACCTAACCTGGATATGTTTGAGTTAGCCGGTTGGCCTAATCCAAAACATACGCGCTCTCGCTAAACTGTACTACGACGCTGGTTATCAAGTGGATCTCTCAAGCCAGCCGTGTCCTATCTAGTTAGGTGTTCACATGAGAGGGGTGGTATCTGGAGCATTCGACCAATCACAAACATGGAGAAGCGCACTGACAGCGCAGCGTCATACTTCCTGAATGAAAAGTGAACTATAATACTAGTCAAAAATGAAGAAGTTAAACTTGAAACATCCATGCCTTAAACACTTGATCCAGGATCAAAGCCACAGAGCTGCACCTGCAAGGTGAACACAGCTGGAACAGAACAAGAGTTTGAATGCATACATTAACAGCTTTATGATATCACTGCCCGTCTAAGACACCATCTGACTTTCATTACATTTGACTCCAGTGTTTCCTCAACTTAATGTGTTGCTTCAAATAATGCTTCTGCATCCAGTCTGTGACGCTGTGAGTGTTGCACGGCCTGATGCGGCTCAGCTGACTCAGATCAGGAGATGATACATTATGAAGTGATATGGACTGTACTTAATGTGACTCTGATCCGGTTACTTATGTTGTGGCAGATATTTCAGTAAGCTTTCTTAACGCTAATGTTATAATAGTCAGATTGCTCTGAAGATGGAGGTGATATTCTATTCATGTTCACGTTCACACAGTCGCTGATTTCTGCCGGCCGTCTTTCCTGCGACGGCAGTTTTTCTGTATTTCCTGTCTCCTGTAATATGACTTGATCGCTTTAAACTCCGCACACTGAGCTCTGATTGGTCAGCAGGCGGTGCTTTCACTGAGTTGAGCTCTTAGCCTGCAACCTAACTTGCTCCGGACCAGGTTAGCCGCTCAGCATCAGTTACCATGGAGATCTAGCCGCTAAAAAGAGAACCAGCTTCGTAGGACCGGAAACCCCGAGTTAACCTGAAGTTAGCCGCTAAGAGAACATCCTGCTTCGTAGTACACCCCCCAGGAGTCCTCACACCTTTTTTAGGATGAGAGCTACTTT